TGCTTCAGGACGAGGCATCAGTTTGATCGCTGGGGGTACAGATGAGTTCTTGTTCTCCTGTGCTAATTGTTACTCAAATGTAGCTGCAACTCTTGGAACACATGGAAACCGGTGGGGTTTTGTGCATGTAGGAGTTTACAATAAGGGATTCGTCCAGGCGTCTGTTGATACCTGGGAAACGTTCAGGCAAGTTGGGTTGGAAACACTCATCGACTCTGATCTCACAGGGGCGTTCTGTTTTTTCAGCGGTGTAGCAGGGGGCGCAGTATGCACTCTTGTTGCAGGAACATGGACACTTCTTGTTCAGAAGAGCTACGCCGCTGAAGTGTCTATATATGCTTTCTTCATCGGCTATTTCATGGTAAAAGATTCTGGAATCATAAACATATCTTAACTTCAAACCTGTAAACAAACTAACTCCTGTGGTTTGTTGGCTATGTTTCAGTGTCGGATAGCTTTGGCATGGCCACAAGCATGTGTTTCAGCTTATTATGTTGCTTACTCTGAGAACCAACAGAACCCTCGATTCGATTCAACAATCCCTGCTCGCATGCAAGAGCTTCAGAGATATCAAACTTAACAAACATTAGAGCAAATCCAAGCATTTGTATATAAATACCCGATGATGTTGAAGATATTCACCATCTAGCAAAAGATCAGTCATGTTGAGAAGCATATAGGCAATGTAAAGGCTTGATAGGATGATACACCGAGAGAAAGATGAAATAATTTCAAAGATTGTGAAACTTTTTCTTTCTATTTGGCAAATAACATGTACAAAATTGCTATGACGGATGCACCTATTTCATGGTGCATATTAGAATACAATTATATAACCATATAATACCAAATATTTTATATATCAATTAACTATGCGATGACATTTGATAGGGTTCCAACCTTCCAATACCGATGCCAACTCAGACAAAACTGAAACCATATGAGTGTTCTTGTCAGTNTGGGTGGAAAATAGTCGTTTACTCTAATTATAGTACATTAAAAAAAAAAAAAAATTTGAATCATCAAATATTCTTATATTTGACTATAAAAGCTTTAAAGTATAATATCTTACTTGGAGTGAAAGAATACTGATTTCATTTTAGAATAACCCCACAAATCATATATTCATTAGACTTGGTGTTCCGCTCCCTGGAAAAAACTCAACTCACAATTTTATACCTATTGGTCATACCTCACAATATATAAGATAAAGATTATTATCCATGACTTTATTTTTAGGTTGTTTTGATTTAGACGCTACATCACTTAAGTTTTGATTAAAGGAAGGAATGATGCCCACAATTCAATTGTCCCTTTAATCTCTTTTAATATTCCACATTATCTTGTGAAAAAGTCTACATCAATTCTTCCATGAAAATTGGATAAAATAATATTTTCTTAGTGTTGTGCATGTTTTCTACGGCCTAATTTGTGCCACCTATCCATACATTATATCGAGATCTAATGATCAGACTCATCCCACGTGTCGCTCTCATAACAGATGACTTCATCAGCTAACTCATCAATATTAACTATTAAGCATAGGTGCTCAGACTTAAGCATGGATGGGGCTGACTCAAATCTGGATTAAGGATGATTATGCGTGTAATCTATCCAGTAACAACAACTCCTAACCACTATCAGATGGTATGTATAAAAGGGAGACATCACCTCCGTTTTGGGAGACTGATTATTGACACAAGCACAGGAAATCACTTAGAGAGAGTTTTAGTTCTCTATTACATATTTTATCCCATAATCATCTTGTGTGTAAAGCAAATACAAAACAATAATATAACAGTGAACATAGGTTTGGTTCCAACCCGTCAAACCACTTTAAAAACCTCTTTTGTTTTCATATTGTGGATTCTCCAATCTATTCTTGGCTAATTAATCTTAATCACACACACATCATATTCAATCTTGCCTTGATCGATTGGATATCTCTGGTTGTAGCGATTTTTCTTAACAACACTAGAGGTTTTTCTTAGATCTCTCTGTTTGTTTGTTTGTTTAGCTAATTCAAACAGTTAGGTCTATTGAAGATGTACATAAGAAGAAGGATCTTCAGAAAAATAGAATGGAAGAGAAGAGTACTTAAGTTTTCTAATTAATTGACCAAATTAAAATAAATCAATTTAGAGTCTTTTGTTATTTAATATGAAAGAAAAGCAGTTGAACCAAACAAATAAAAAGAGCCGGATGGATTATGTTTTATTCTAATTTCTTTTTCATACTTTAACCAATAAAGAAGATTCAACCCAAAACGTATTTCCAGCTGCATGCATCACGAGGAAAGGAGACAAATCAACTTCTTCTTCACGTCAAAACCGCTGACCTGTCTCTCCCACGTCACCATAACCAAACTCACCTCCACCATTAATTGCTAATATAATATAATATTATAGGGTTACTAGATGAAATGCATGCATGAAATTGAAATCATTAATTTTGTTTGATGGTTTTGAAGAAACGATGTCGTTGTAGCTTGAACTTTCTTTGGTTGATGATGTAGAAGATTGAAACTTGGAAGAAATGTGAATAAGTAGAATTAGGTTATGAAGACTGGGACAAGTTAAGTCTTTGTGTGATATAATACTGTTTGAATTTTCAGTTCAGATTTAAATTAGACTCTCTCAATTAGACTTTCCAAGAAAGCGAAAGAAATTCACTTTAATTTGAAACATTCAAGTTATGCAGAGCTTACATGTGACAATTCAAGAATCAAGATTTTCATCCACAAACACACAAAAGGTTTTTAATTAATTTCTTCTCAGCACCAACCCACTTTGTGTTATTTTCTTTGTTTCCGCACTTATCTTTAGAGCTATATACCAAATATTGCTTCATTGTTCTTCCAGGTTCAGGAGCCAAGTGCTCTACAAACTGAAGCAACGGTGGCGGGGCAATTCGCGAGGAAGCTGCTTCAAATTCTTTTCTACTTTCACTTACTCCTAATCACGATCTTGACAATTTTCTTAACAATACGCGGCGTTGTTTCAGCTGACAAGCACCATTTCTACCCCAGGAGATGGTACCCTCCCTTGCTTACTTCAGTTGCTAGCGTTGGAGTTTTCTCTTTCGCTTGGCAATGGATAACTTACTCCAATCCTTCAAAAGCCATCAAAATATGCTTCTGGCTTGGCCCGTTGTCGACGTGTGCAGTTGGTATAGTATTTTTATTAATTAGTTCTGCAGCTTGTTCAGCAGTAGGTGCCATTTTTATCATTTCTGCATTCATTCAAACCCTCTACACTTGTTGGGTCAATCCCAGATTTGAATATGCTGCCAAGATTTTATCAGTCTCCGCAGCTTTTCCTCCTGCTAAAACTACAGTTTTGGTCACTCTATCAATAATCACAAGTGTTGTATATACCTCTTTATTGATGTCTGGCATTGGAGGAGCCACTGCAGTTGGAACTAAATTAGACACCTTGTTCATAGTGGTGATCCTGCTCAGCCTGGCCTGGAGTATGCAAGTGATCAAGAATATATTGCAAGTTACTGTATCAAGAATCAAATACATTCACTTCGCATACGGGGCGGATATGGATACACAAATTGCTTTTCGTGATACGATGAATCATTTGGTTGGGAGTGTATGCATTGGTTCAATATTCGTTCCAATTTTTGGGGTCATTCGTGCTTCAGGACGAGGCATCAGTTTGATCGCTGGGGGTACAGATGAGTTCTTGTTCTCCTGTGCTAATTGTTACTCAAATGTAGCTGCAACTCTTGGAACACATGGAAACCGGTGGGGTTTTGTGCATGTAGGAGTTTACAATAAGGGATTCGTCCAGGCGTCTGTTGATACCTGGGAAACGTTCAGGCAAGTTGGGTTGGAAACACTCATCGACTCTGATCTCACAGGGGCGTTCTGTTTTTTCAGCGGTGTAGCAGGGGGCGCAGTATGCACTCTTGTTGCAGGAACATGGACACTTCTTGTTCAGAAGAGCTACGCCGCTGAAGTGTCTATATATGCTTTCTTCATCGGCTATTTCATGGTAAAAGATTCTGGAATCATAAACATATCTTAACTTCAAACCTGTAAACAAACTAACTCCTGTGGTTTGTTGGCTATGTTTCAGTGTCGGATAGCTTTGGCATGGCCACAAGCATGTGTTTCAGCTTATTATGTTGCTTACTCTGAGAACCAACAGAACCCTCGATTCGATTCAACAATCCCTGCTCGCATGCAAGAGCTTCAGAGATATCAAACTTAACAAACATTAGAGCAAATCCAAGCATTTGTATATAAATACCCGATGATGTTGAAGATATTCACCATCTAGCAAAAGATCAGTCATGTTGAGAAGCATATAGGCAATGTAAAGGCTTGATAGGATGATACACTGAGAGAAAGATGAAATAATTTCAAAGATTGTGAAACTTTTTCTTTCTATTTGGCAAATAACATGTACAAAATTGCTATGACGGATGCACCTATTTCATGGTGCATATTAGAATACAATTATATAACCATATAATACCAAATATTTTATATATCAATTAACTATGCGATGACATTTGATAGGGTTCCAACCTTCCAATACCGATGCCAACTCAGACAAAACTGAAACCATATGAGTGTTCTTGTCAGTTCCATACCAGAATCGAGAATTTCAACAGAACGTGTGCATTTTTCTTCCATTATACAAAAAAATAATAACAGATTACTAGAAACAAAGATCGTATATCAGTGAACTAGAGGTCAAAAACTCAAGTAATCACCTTGATTTTTGCTTCAGACCGTTCACCTTATTTTTTCTACAGTATTTTATATTTAAACTTCAGAAATACATAAAGATGTATTCTCAATGCATTGAATTATACAGCAATGGGAAAACTCTACTAAGTGCATTTGTAAATAAAGAAAATATGATATATAGAGGAAAAATACCCTTACAGAGATCATTCAAGTATGATACAACACTAGAAATTTTCCCTTTTCACTATAGATTCAACAAAAATGACAGTGAAACAAATGATGTTAAAAACCGTGACAAGTATGGAATGTAAATTCACCATGTAGATGTTGAGCTACAAGGCTATAATAAATTCTGATAAAAGAAGACAAGCAAAACAGATAAGTCATTTGGGTCCACGATGACCTCGCCCACCACATTCAGCGCACATAATGTTACCAGTTCCCCCACAACCTGCACAGAAAAATTATCAAATTAAAGCTTTGTGTTTTCCAAGCATAAACAGAAACAGAAACTAGATAATTAACAGTATGCCTAACTGTCTCATTTTTCTTCAAGAGTGGAAATTGTTAATTATGGGGTATCAGTAATCTCAGATTGACTTACACTGACATTACAGGAAAACTTACCACAGAATTCAAAAATTCCCAAACATTCTGAACTTCATACTACTTTCTTATATTATAACTTCCAAAGATATACATATATCACTACGAAACTTGATTGGATCAAGAAACATCAAGCTAACTAAGTATTTTCCTAGTAACAGGCTCAAACAGACCTAAACTGGGTGGGAAGGCATATCAAAGTAATTAGGGAGATCACAAAGCAATTTTGAAGGTGAAAATAAACTGATTACTGAAGGGGCCTTTGAATCCAATAGTTTTAGAAAGAGATACCACATTTAAATGTATAAATGTTACATTAAGGAAGACAGTAGGAATTAAGAAATGCCTAGAAATATAAAGCCAGCAAAAAACAATCTTGTCTAGATCTTTAACTGAATCATCCATAAAAGGGAAAAACCTTGACGATAAAAAATGGCCATTTGCTACAGACTAAAGTTCAAACAAAAATGATATCATGTAATGCTAACCCAAAAAATACTCATGAAAGTCAATTTAGGAATATGGAGAAAATTGTCAAGGGCATATCTATCCATGAAAATTTACATGCACTTTGAAGTCAAAAGTTGAACTGGAGAGAGAAGAAGTTTACCTAGGCAGCGCACTTTGACAATGATACCCTGGCTCTCTAGTATCGAGTCCACATATAGGCCTGAACCAGAGCAAGTGGTGCAAAGGACTGCACCTTTAGCTTGGCAATCAGTGCACCGGAGATTATTTCCAATTACTTTTTCAGCGAGTGATAGCCCAATCGGCTTCTCAATTCTTTCCTCCGGAATAGGCTTATCATAACAAAACAGAGATTCAAGACTGCTTCTTTGCCTCTGCATATCTCCAACCGAACTTGACTCAGCCTGCAACATCAAAGATGTATCCTTTAGATATTACACAGAGCAACACAATGCGAAAACCTTCAATCAATTTTCATCATCCCAAAGTATACACATAAGCACAAATGGAACTTTATTTCTCAAACCAGTTGCATACAGCTCCCCATCTCTCAAATAATTTGGTATTTATGAGTAACAATCTACACGAAAAACTCGATATCGACTCAATTAGGAGGCCCATCTCTAAATTGGCAATCTTTAAATACCCTCAATCCCTTCTTGAAGAAACAAGTAATCTTTAAACAATAATTTATCAAGAACAATCAACGTTCCAGCTAAAAGACTTTTACAAGTTAAAGCATCACAGAAATTATGAACAAATTGCTTGGTTGATTATTGGACATATTACAATCTACAACATATTAAATCAAAGAAAATCACTACCTTTTGAATCACACGTGTTAAAGAAATGTATCTAAACAATTAAAAGAACCCAATAAATCGATTAATTAAAATAATTAAAAGAAATGAAAACCCAACTAATGCAATTTAAGTTTAAGAAAAATACAACTTACCCCATTTGAAAAAGAGGGAGAAAGAGAACCGTAAGAGATGGCGCAGATTCTTCTAGTGGAGTGGCATGTACTGAATTGAAACCCAAAACTGAAATCATTTTGTTTATTGTTATGAACCAATCTTGAGGAGGAGACGGAGAAGCCAACGGATGAAGCTAGTCTCAGAGTAGAATCCATTAGAAGTTAAAAACACATGCACAAAACTGTGAAGCGGAAAATTAGAGGATGAACAAGTAATTAGAGAATTGAAGAAAGTTGCATAAATATGGGCCGAAACAGAAGATAGCTTTGGAGAAATCGCTGGTTGTTTCTGAGTTTTTGCTTTTGTCTGTGGGTGGGGATTACCTAATTTTATTTAATAAAGAGTAAACACATTTACCCACTCCAGGTTTGGCGAATCCACAGTGCCCACCCATGGTTTCATGAATTTCAGATTCACACCCTTAAATTAACCGAAAATTGTTTAATTCAATGCTTAAAGGGTAAAATGGTCAGCACACAGCTGTCCCACCCTTTTCTCTCCCTCCTTTCACTCCTTCCTTTCTCTCCCAGATTTTAGACAGATTTCAGTCGGATTTTGCACCAAAATCGACAGAAATCATCTCTTCATCGCCGATTGCACCTTTCCCGAGTCTGATTGGTTCGTTGTCAAACTGATCTTGCACCATTTTTGCATTGTGTGTACGACCCCTGGCCTCGCTCGACTGACTGTTCTCAGGCCCGATCTAGACGGTTTCCAACGTCGATTAAACCACTTAACTCTATCATCATCTTCCTCTCGCCATCCTCTTCAAAACCCTCACCAGGATTGCCACCAACAACTATCGTTTCCACCTTTCCCAAGTATATCTCTCCATCACGACATGCGTTGTTGTTTCCACCTTTCTTGACTATATCTCTCCATCGCAATGTGAGCATGAGTTTGTTGCGTTTGCACTGAATCTGCCGTCTACCGCCAACATCAAGCTCCTCTCTTCTTCCTTGACACACCGATTACCATCTCGGGTTGCACCGGTTGCCGTTTCCTACTCGTGATCATCGTTCATTTTTCGAATTTGTGAGTGGGTTGTGGTTTGGGTGATTTGGTGGTTGAATTTATGAGTGATTAGCTGGTGGTTTGTGGTGATTGTTTAGTGGCGGTGGGGCTGACTTTGGGGTTTAGAAGGATTGTAACGGTGGTGGATGGGTGGAATGGTGGTGGGTGGTGGTGACTTTGGGGTTTTGGTCGTGATGGTGTTGAATGGTGGTGGCTGGATGGTGATGGTGATGGTGGCTAGATAACGGTGTAATCAAAAGTCAAGGGCAATATGGTAATAGCATTGTTTGCAATTATGTCCTAACTCAAAATTCATTAACAGTGCTAATTTAAGGGTGAGAATTTAGAATTAAAGAAATCATGGGTGGGAACTTAAGATTCGCCAAACCTTGGGTGGGTACATGTCGTTTACTCTTTAATAAATTTTACAAAGTGGCAGCAATTATGTAATCAAGATTGAATAATACTACACATACATAATTCTTATACAATATTATGTGACAAGATATGATTGGATAAAAGTTTAATTTTAACTTTAAATTAGTCAATCATATCTTATCACATAATATTGTATGAAAAATGTTGTATGAAAATGATGTATGTGTAGTATTACTCATCAAGATTTACATAGCTTTTCTTGCTGTTTTTTAAGTTATCTTTTTAAGATTGTTAGCATACAAATTATTTAATTATTTTTTTTTTTGTATGACCGAGGGTATCTGAACCTGCTTACATACACTTCAATTAATCCCTTGAGACTTCGAATAACCGATTAGATAAGAACTCCAGTGACTACCCTTATTAGCACTCGAAGAAGGATTCAAACTTAAAATCTCTTAAATAATATATTCAAGAGTCTCTATCGAAACACAAATAAACAAATTATTTAGATTATCAATATATTAAATATATATAAATAAAAAAAACTATATTGAAATAAGTAAATATTTTATCTATTAATGATAATAATACACGTGAAAACAATCATATATTTTTACAATCAAAATTTGTAAATTTTAATTATACACTTATAGAAAAGACTTTACAGCATTGCAAATGGAATCAATTACAATGAGTAACAACAAATAAAAACTAATGAATGATAAATATTTTCTAAAACTTGAAATATTCTCATGAAATTAAATATACATTTATATTTGTAGAAATAAATAAGAAATATTTTAAACCTTTAAAAAGAAATATGTAAATATGTTTTGTATAAGTTGCTATCCACATCTTAGGTCTTAGCCACAAAAATATTTTTATATAAATTTTTTTGAATTTAATAATATTTAAAAGTATTGTATGTGCAGATCCTTCTACATTTGATTAGGAGAACTCTGGGTTAGGCTTTACTCAAGAATTAAGCCCATGATCAAGTCGTGAACCCTTTTGGGCTTGAGCCTTTTACAGATTTGGCATTTCGGTTTCTCATTAAACTTCCCATAAATACGATGGACTGAAATATTAATCCTAGTAGAATCACTTTATAAATACATTTAGATTTATAATTGAATAAAAAAATTTGAAAAATATAAAAGTCCTCAGCAACCGTTAAGTCAACAACCGCTAACCATCGTTTATCCCCAGCAGCCACTGTCGACCAAGACCAAGTACGTCCGACAATAAAATGATGGATTTACCCAAATTTAACCTATTCAGTATTCACCCCACCCCAAATGATGGATTTTGTTGTCATCCCTAAATAAAACGTTGGGCATTAGCACTACTTCTTTTTATTTTATTTTTATTTATTTCATCTAAGTATTTGTAGTAGAAAAATTTGACTAAGACATATCCATTATAAAAGGCATGTCGGCATATTTACAAAGATTTTCAAACCCTTCAACATCACACTAACTGTCCAAATATAAATGATGCTAAGAGGTTGTAAATTACTTTCTTATTAAAATACTTTAAATAAATGAAATTACACCTAATATCCAATGGTCACCCCTATTAGGGGCTAAGGTGAATTGAATTGAGACCCTGAAACTACTTGACCAGATAAGAGTTTCAGTGGTCATCCCTTAATAAGAGTTAAGGTGAATCGAACTTAGGACCGTAATACATCTAAGGGTCTTAGTTGACTACTTGACCACCCAATAATGGTTAGAACTATCTCATTTTGTTAGCTCTTTAGTCTCCTTTAATGTTATTCAAATTTGGGTCTCTCATTTCTTTGTTCCAAGTAAGTCCTATTAGAAATTGAAATAAGTAAGATAAGGAAAGTTGTTTTTCTCTTCTTTTTCTTTAGATATTTCATTGTCTGGTGATCTAAAAATATCTCCAACTCATATTTATCTAAAAATTCAATTTCTCTCTAATTACATAAAAACTATGAAAATATGTGAAAGGATTTGATATCTTTCAACAATCCAACCAAATAAAAGCAGAGATGGGTTGGCCTTTTCTTCTTCACTAAGTTCTCTCGTCTATTCAATCAATAATCCCTCCCTTTCATTCTTGTCTTTTTATTAATTACACACTTATCTGCCTTCACACTACGAGCTTCTTCCGTGGACACCCCTAATGTTGTGGGTATATGAGAAGTCCCACAGGTTTAGGAATATAACATTTACAACCTTATAATTGACAAATGTTTGTGAAGAATTAATTCTGACATAGAATCTTGGGTACAATGACTATCCTATGACCAAAAAAAAAAAAAAAAATAAAAAAAAAATAAACCTGATATATGGCACTTGTCACAGGTTGAAATATTAAATTTATTAAATAATTTAATAATATTGATTTTTGATGTGCCATACTATCTTAACATTGTGATAATTACTTTTCACAAACATACATCAATTATAAGGGTATAAGTGTCTCATTCCTAAACCTGTGGGTGTTTTATGTTCTTTCACTATAGAGCCCTATGTTAGAAAAAATTCCTAATTGTGGCTTACATTAATTATATATTGTTTTAATTAAAACCGAGTAATTGTATAGTCCAATGAAAAAAAACCTAATGGGCTTAATGTGATCATATTAAAGTTTTGCCTATTACACTTTATTTGATTATTTTAGACTGATGAAAAAGTGTGGCTTGAGCCTGTAGTAGATTTTAAAGTATATTAGACCTTTAATTGAAATGTCCAATAAACCAATATTAAATTGACTAGATTCCATTAACAAGAGTTAAATCGAACAACTTAACATGCGTTATTGGAGAGGAATACTTACGATTTGTATGGCTTGTGAAAACTTGCCACTTTTACTGTTAAGGAATTAAAGAATAAAAAATTATAATTGTCTATAACCCTTTACTATTAATTCAGTATTATATAATTTATTTGTTGATCTTTTAAGATATTATTGATTATGACTGAATTGTATTCACATTGATTGATTGAGTGAAGATAAAATTCTTCTTTAATTAGCTTATACCTTCTTCACACCACTTTTTAGTAGTTCACATTGACCTTTTGTCAATGTTAATCAATCTAATACTTTTCCAATAAAAAAAAATATTCTAATTGTAGATGTTAGGTTAAAGTTCCTATTCAAAAATATAAGTCAATAAAAGTCTAATAAAATAATAATATTTAAACTATAATCGAAATTTATATTAACTTAATAATAGATGCATGTTTCAAGAATTTTCCGCTATGAACTAATAAAGACTAGAAGATAAAATTTTATAATTCTTATTACGAAAAAAAAATTAACTGAAATTTTATCCAGTACGAGAAAACTTAAGCGAATATAACTGATAAGCATCATTCAATTTTTGCGGCCATATTTTCCTCGTTTCCTGCACGTTTCAATAAATACAACAAATCTCTCTCTCTCTCTCTCTCTCTCTCTCTCTCTCTCTCTCTCTCTCTCTCTCTCTCTCTCTCTCTCTCTATATATATATATATATATATATATAAGAGTAATACTACAGTTATCGACGGGTGTACACCGAATTTGTGCACCGAATGACGTGACAAAATTCTAACCGTTGATTTATTATCAGTTAATATTAATAAACGGTCAGGATTTTGCCACGTCATTCGGTGCACAAACTGAAGACTCATGTAAGTCGTACACACTTTGAAACGGATAGAATTATTCTATTTTGACACATAGAATTTATGATTGCTATATGGTTGAATTTTATTGATGATGTTGTAGAAAGATATTAATTGTTGAATTGATATTCCAAATCCAAAGACAAAAACATACATATTTGAGTGACACG